CAAGATCCCAACTCAGCAAGGAGGGACAGTATGGAAGCAACTAGAAAAAAAAAATCCTATGAAAGAAAAGGGATTAAAAAAAAACTCAAGTGGGGCAAGACTCAGGACAGGAAAGAGCAAGCACTATTAAAGAGCTTATAACTGATGGCTTTTTAGTTTCTACAAGTTTCTTATAGTTAAGTTTCTATAGTTAAGTTGTCTACTAAGTGAGAGGACTCACTTAGAACTATTGTTTTGCGACTATTTAAAAAATAATCTTGGAGTTCTCTGAGGCCCTTACAACTCAAATTATGACCTCCAGCATTGGCATCACCAGGAATGCTAGACCTAAATCAGATCTGGCATTTTCTTTTCTCCTTGGTGCTAGGAAATAAACATAGGACAAGCACATGTTGAACTATGGAGCTACATCCCCACCCAGAATTTGAAATTAGATCCCTAGCCTATTTTTTTAATGGAATGCTTCACAGGGGCCATGCTAATCTTCTCTGTATCTTTCCAATTTTAGTATATGTGTTGCCAAAGCAAGCATTCCCTACCCTATTAAAGTTTGAGAAGAGCTGCTATAGTACATCTTCCCACTTAACAGAAAAGAAACTAGAGACTCCAGATTAGCTGTTTTTCAAGTTAAGACTGCAAAAGTTGAGAGCTCCTTTAGAAAATTAATAAGAACTCAATGCATGATTAACAAAAAGGACCTTCAAATGAGTGAAGCACTGGGAGATGGCTCAAGTGGTAGAATGCCTGCTTAGCAAGCACAAGGTCCTGAGTTCAAAACCCCATACCACCAAATGAGGGTGCAGTTCCAACAGCATAATTTTGACTTTTCCAGCAATACTATGGTATATAGGATTGAAGAAAGAGGAATGTGGCTACTTAAAACTAGACTTGGAGTTGAAAAAAGATGGATACTGTAGGAGGTGAAAAGAATGAAGTCATCCTTCACATGAATGCTTTGAGGGGTAGAATAGGTAAGCTGGGTGGGGAGGAAGGCAAGTAAAGCCAGGTAGGGATGGTGAAGAGAAAGCCTGAAGGAACAGGTCTAAGAACTGGTCAAGGAACTGGTGGTTAGTTGGGTTGAGGGAGATAGGTAGGAAGGTTGTGGTCCAAATGGAGAATTATAAAATTTGAAATCTTGAAACTAGAGAAGTTTTAAGTAATCAAAAAGGTCCAGATTGGCCATCTCGCAGAAGGGCAAAAATCATCAGTATAAAAGGTTAAGAAACAACGAGATCAGATGAAAGTAAAATCTATGGTTAAAATCTGTGGTAATATTGGCAATGAAAAAAATATTCTATTGATGTTTATAAAGCAGAAACTATTCAATTATGATTTCCTCACATAAACCTACCTTGGTCTGTCAACAAACAACACTACGTGATGTGATTTGCTTTAAAAAACAAAAGGCTCTTTATCTGTGTAAAGCAGCAATTTTTCTTTATACATTCTTTTCAGAAACATAGTCTGATCAGAGTTTATTTTTTAGAGATGGGGATCAGAGGACCTGACTTGGAAAAGACCTGGTTCATGAAGGATTTGACCATTGTTGCCAGAATGGACTAAGTGCCAAAGGACATGACGTTTAATTTGTGCCAATAGCTATTATCAAGAAGACAGCTTCCTGGAACACAAATTTCCTTCTGAACACAGTAACCCTTGAGTAGAAATTTGAGTGTACAGCTCAAACTGAGAGTAGTATTTTATGTTATCAAGCAATCCCCTATTTTAAGCTGTTTTTTTTTTTTTTTTTGCGGTACTGGGGCTTGAACTCAGGGCCTTGAGCTTGCTAGGCAGGTGCTCTGCCACTTGAGATACTCTGTCAGCAGTTGGTTCTTTATGAATTTACATTATTAGGATTACATAACAGAGAACATGAGGAAGAAGTGGTAGAAGACTAATAAGAACAAAGAAAAGTTTTCATTTTTTGTCAGGTGAAAAAAAAATAGGTTTGGACATGGTGGTTGCTTGTAATCGCCGTACCTGGGCGGCTGAGGCTACATAGTGGGACCCTGTTTCAAAAAAAGTAAGAGAAGTTAAAAAACATGTCACAAAAGAATTTACAGAGAATGGTCCCTCTCCCTTTTTAAAATGGGCACATATATGTATAAAAACAACAACAGACTGTTCAGCTATGGAACAGAGGATAGGAAGAAATGAAACCTTAAATTCTAGGGCAAGTTCACTGAAAAAGAAAGAAAATTCAAGAATAATTTGTTTCCAAAGAACTAGTAACATAGTACATCTTAGGCAACAGGGCTGGAGGAGGGACTTACTTTTCTGGAGACCTGCCATAGCCACTGCCAAAGGAATGTTTCATGGAGGTGGAAGCTCAGTCCCTTCCTCCCAGCCCTGGACTCTACTCTGCTCCAGGAAGAGCCAAACAGGAATTGTCAGGGAATTCCACTGGCATCTATCAAGTCACTGACATTCTGTTTTGATGTAGTCATAGAAAGCACAAGTGACCTCCTTTAATAATAGGCTTTAAATATTTAGATGTGAACTGAACTTGATTTCTAATAATATTCTAGTCTAGTTGAAAGTGATAAGGCAATCTGACCTGTTCTCTTGAAAATGAATTTAGTTTTCTAACGTTAGAAATTAAAGCCCCTACCAGGGATTTCTCAAGTATTTGCTCCTTGGGTTAGATTTAAAATAGCAACAAAGAGGTAACTGAAGTAGTAATTCCTTTGTAGTTGAAATGAACTCTATAACAAATTTCTTACTAGTGCTACCAAAAAAAGCTCCAGTTAGTGTTATTTATAACACATTTTAATGTTATCTTAATAAATCTATTAGATAAGAGTAGACTTCTGAGGGCACTCTGGTAGCAAAACAATTTTGGCTGCTATCAATGACTAGATAATTCTCTTCCTATTTATTTCAATTTTCAGTTGAAAGCAAGTTGTGTATGTAGTAGAATCTCTGGAAGCACTTGTCAGATCAAATATTGCCACCAATGAACAAACAAGTAGAGCTTCAGGAAATCTTGAAACAGTATAAAATGGAGATAATGAGAAAACTAAGGATTTTCTCTCAAGATTTATTACATTCAAATCATCAGTGTTCTTGTCTCTTGTTTTCTTTCATACTGCTATTTTCTTTTTTTTTTTCATTTTTCTTTTATTATTCATATGTGCATACAAGGCTTGGTTCATTTCTCCCCCCTGCCCCCACCCCCTCCCTTACCACCCACTCCGCCCCCTCCCTCTCCCCCCCCCAATACCCAGAAGAAACTATTTTGCCCTTATTTCTAATTTTGTTGTAGAGAGAGTATAAGCAATAATAGGAAGGAACAAGGGTTTTTGCTGGTTGAGATAAGGATAGCTATACAGGGCATTGACTCACATTGATTTCCTGTGCATGGGTGTTACCTTCTAGGTTAATTCTTCTTGATCTAACCTTTTCTCTAGTACCTGTTCCCCTTTTCCTATTGGCTTCAGTTGCTTTAAGGTATCTGCTTTAGTTTCTCTGCGTTAAGGGCAACAAACGCTAGCTAGTTTTTTAGGTGTCTTACCTATCCTCACCCCTCCCTTGTGTGCTCTCGCTTTTATCATGTGCTCATAGTCCAATCCCCTTGTTGTGTTTGCCCTTGATCTAATGTCCACATATGAGGGAGAACATATGATTTTTGGTTTTTTGAGCCAGGCTAACCTCACTCAGAATGATGTTCTCCAATTCCATCCATTTACCAGCGAATGATAACATTTTGTTCTTCTTCATGGCTGCATAAAATTCCATTGTGTATAGATACCACATTTTCTTAATCCATTCGTCAGTGCTGGGGCATCTTGGCTGTTTCCATAACTTGGCTATTGTGAATAGTGCCGCAATAAACATGGATGTGCAGGTGCCTCTGGAGTAACAGTCTTTTGGGTATATCCCCAAGAGTGGTATTGCTGGATCAAATGGTAGATAGATGTCCAGCTTTTTACATACTGCTATTTTCTATGGCTTCCTCTAGGTAGATTTCTCTCAATGGAACTCTGTTTATATAGAAGAGTCTTAAGCAGACGGCTTATCATTAACTGGGACAGGGCAGGAAGAAAATGGTCTTGCCTTTTTTCCCACTCCCAAGTGTCTTTTACTAAATTCCTTTCTTATTCTTGGTCCTGTTCTGCTTCCAGACAGGGCTGCCAGGCTCTATTGATACCTCATTTTCCCTATCCTTTATCTTCTTACATAATCCTCACTAGGGTTGTCAAAGTTAGCAAACAGATATATAGGATGTCATTTAAATGTGAATTTGAGGTCAACAAATATTTTTAGAAGTATGTCCCTATAATACTTGGGACATAGTTGTACTAAAAAAAATTATTTGCAATTCAGATGTTACTGGGAGTCCTATGTATCTGGCAACTCTGCTCCTCTCTTTTTGTGGACTACAGAAGGCTTTAGTCTAGTTTTGGTTACTGAGAATTCTGCTTATGTCTCAATCTTGAAAGAATGTCCAATCTGGATACCACCATTCCATCACAGTGGTCTATGCTCCCATACTCCTTGTCATTTCTACAAGAGCCCCCTGAGATACTTTTAATCTGTGAATTCTGAATTGATATGGGATGGGCAAAATACCAGACCTAGATTCCACTTAGTTTTGCCCTGATAATTTTTATTTTTAGCAAAGAATATAAGATTCTCGAAAGTAGGAGACCTCATAATATAACTACATAATATACCCTTTGTTTCTATTCCTGCTTTAGAAGGAAGCTATCAGGAGCTGAGTGTGGTGTCTTGTGAATAGTCCCAGTTACTTGGGGTGGGGGGGTGTGCTAAGGCAGAAAAGATCACTTGAGCCCAATATATAGTAGTTTTATAAAACAAGATATATTAATTAAATAACCTCTCTTTCTTTTTTTTTGATGGTACTGGGGTTTGAACTCAGGGCTTCACACTTGCTAGGCAGGCACTCTACTACTTCAGCCACTTCGCCAGCCCTGTTTTGTGTTGGGTTTTTTCGAAATAGGGTCTTGGGAACTATTTGCCAACGTTGGCTTTGAACCATGATCCTCTTGATGTCTGCCTCCTGAGTAGCTAGGATTTCAGGCATGAGCCACTGGTGCCTGGTAACCCTGTCTTTTTAAAAAAGGCTAATAAAATGGTGAACTACTTTGGAAACAGTTTACAACTTGAGTTATAAAATGAAGAAGAATCAGTTGTTGGGTATAAAATGAAGAAGAATCAATCAGAACAGCAAAATAGATTCCAGCAGCATTATCTGTTATCCAAGCTAAGTGGACTAGCTTGGCCCAATAGGAGATGTAGGCATTACTTTTCACCAAGTCCCCAGTTCTAAATAAGTTTCCAAGAGCAAATGTTAGGAGGAAAATGCAGCTCCTTATGAAAAGATATATCTCATTTAATTAAAAATCAATTTGTTGATAGATAAGCCACCTGGACCAAACAGTGTTTTAATAAAACCTGTGTGCCTTTAGGACAGAGGCAGTGCCCTACACAAGCATCAACTTAAGAGCTGTAATACCAACCAGGAAGGCACACAAATACATATTTAGCATGGGAGAAAGAGTTCTTATGTCTTTCGGTGGAGGCAAAGCCATTTGGTTGGCACTTCATAGGAATATCTTTCCACCCGGTCTTCATCATAAGGTACGTGCCATGAGTCTCCTGTTGTTTGCACCACGGTGTCATGTCTAAGAATACGCTGTTGAGTTAAAAAAAGAACCAAACATTGAGAAGAATAATAAAGTGTTGCTCCTTTTTTTTTCAGTTTGTTTGGAGGAGTATTTATTGTCTTATTTAACACTAGATTATCAAAGAACAGCTAACTCTGTGAAGAGGAGTATTAGAAGATGGGTATCAGAAGTTTCATTTTTTGGGGGGTTTCATTTTTAAAGTTAAGGACTTCCTGTAGGAGAATCATAGGTTACAGAATCCTTTCATTGCCTTTTTGGTTTTGTGTGTGAAAAAGAAAAAATTCAAATATACAAAAGCAGAAAAATAGTATAATGAACTCCCATGTACCCATCATAACCCAGTTTCAACCATTATCAACTCATGGCTAACCTTATTTTATTCATACCTCACCAACTTCTTTGCCCTATCTCTCCATCCAAGATTATTTTGAAGCAAATTTCATATATGTAATTTCTTCTGTATTATTTCAATGTGTAGCTCTAAAAGATAATGATTTATTTTGTAAATTTAAAATCAACACTGTTATTACAATTAAGAATTAATAACTCCTGGGGTGGGGGGAGGGAGGAGAAATGACCCAAACATTGTATGCACATATGAATAAAAAAAAAAAAAAAAAAAAGAATTAATAACTCCTGACTGGGAGTTGTAGCTCAGTGGTAGAACACATGCTTAGCATGCAGGAAGCCCTGAGTTCAATCCCCAGGAACAAAAACAATAAGAATAACAACAAAAAAAATCAGTAAGGCTTGATGGTGCAAACCTATAATCACTTGTAATCCCAGAACTCATGAGGCTGAGGCAGTAGGATCTTGAGTCTGAGGCTGCTGGGCTATATCACAAGATCCTGTCTCATTAAAAAAAAAAAAAAAATCAGGAGCATTAAAAATGCTTTAGCGTTGGAAATTTTTTACTGTTTCCATTTCCCCAATTATTGTATGTGTGTACATTTATTTTATGATTTATCTGAATGGAAAGTAAAAGAAGGTTTTACACTATGACAGGTGAAACTATTTTTTAATTCTTTCTCTCTTTTTTTTTTTTGGTGGTACTGGGGTTTGAACTCAGGGCTTCACACTTGCTAGGCAGGCACCCTACCACTTGAACCTCACCCTCACCCCTAGCCGTTTTTGCCATGATTATTTTGGAGATAGGGTCTCACTTTTTGCCCAGGTTGGTTGTGATACTCCTATTTATACTTTCCACAGTAGCTAGGGTGATAGGCGCAGGTCACCATGCCCAGCTTTTTCTGTTGAGATAGGCTCTTATGAACAAAAAAAGTTCATGAGACTGCCTTGTAATATAGTCCTCCTGATCTCAGCCTCTTGTGAAGCAGAGATGACAGGCATGCACTACTACTCCTAGTTATTGGTTGAAATGGAGGGGGAGAGTGTCTCACGAACTTTTTGCCCTGGGGTTGGCCTTGAACTTCAATCCTCCCAATCTTTGCCTCCTGAGTAGTTAGGATTACAGGCATGAGCCACTGGTACCCGTCCTGCTTAATTTTTTTTTTTTTAATCTAGAGCATCCCTTCCTTCTCTATTTCTCTTTCATCTTTGCTTTCTTCTTTTTGTTGTTGTTTCTGAGTAAGCCAGGTCAGTTGTCCTATATCATTTCCCAGGATACAGTCCTGACTACACTGAATTAATTCTCATCATTTGATACCATATTTCCTATAAAATTGTTTTGTATATTTTTACTTATTTATTTTAAAAATTAACAAATAAGAATTGTGTACAACATAATGTTTTGAAGTATGTATACATGTGGAGTGGCTACCCAAGCCAGGTGTGGTGGTACACACCTACAACCCCAGCACTTGGGAGGCAGAGGCAGCCTCTTGTGAGTTCAAGGCCAGCTGGGCTACATGTCTTAAGAAACAAAACAAAAAAGAATTCAATACACTGTTATTAACTATAGTCACCATGTAGTGCAACAGATCTCTTGAATTTATTTCTATTTTCTAACTGATACTTTGTATACTTCAACCAATATCTCTTCACTGCTCTACCCGTTTATTTTTTGACCATCAGACCATATTTTACCATGGACCAGTGTATTTTTTTCTGTAGTAGTTCTCCTTTGGATTTTCTCCCTTTGCTTTCACACAAGGGGCATCTCTATGCTATACAAATCTGAACTAGGATCAGGAACTCAATTGAGACTGTCATAGAAATGGCTTAAGTAGGAAAAATGAGTTCCTAAATAAAAGTATGACAAACCATAAGGGTAAGTAATTTTGAGCTACTACAAAAAACCAGGAAAATGAAAAACAAATATAAGAAGTCATAACTGAAGACATAATTGCATTCACAACTGATGATATCCCAAATGATTTGATATGTCAGTTAATTTGGGGTTCACCTATCAGTACTTTTGCTGCAACAGACATTTCTAGGAACTGGCTAATACCAAATACCAAACTACAATTCAGAAAAATAAAGCATTCAGAACTTTCAACTAGATATAATATTTTTAAAAACTATGCCACATTCTTACTATATATTTGACTCTGTTAACATAACATGGAGATGAGATACCATACCTCAAAGGTTAGTCCTGGAGACCTACTCATAATCGCCAGCTGATGTCCCTGCTGCCACTTAAAGAACAGGCGTTGGGTCTTGGCATCAGGTAAACAGGCCTTGTGGTCCCGCATCAGGTCTTTTGTGATAAACTTGCAGTGATTCCCTGAGTTCAGTGTGGCATACAGAAGGAATGGATCATCCTCTGAGCTGAAACAGAGTAAGAAAGGACACAATTAACATTCCAGGAGGCAGAGGATAGTACTTTCACCATGCTTCTTATTTTCCTACTTGTTTTAGAGGTGCCTCTGAATTCTTAACAGACATGATCTCAGTGATCTTATGAACCACCTGGATATCCTTAGCTGGTAATAATACTATCTAGGACCCAGATGGAAAGCTGAGGCAAAAGGAATGTTAATGTTTGGGACTCTTACAAGTTAGCTGGACCCGCCCACTAGAATAAAGAATTCTGTCGATTCTCTTTTCACATTAAAAGTTGGTTCTTGGGCTGAGAGCATGGCTTAAATGGTAGAATGCTTACATAGCAAGTTTGAGGCCCCGAGTTACACACACACACACACACACACACACACACGTGCGCTCACACAGTGCTTTTGAACACTCTTCTCCCAAATTAAAAAAAAGAATAAATGCTTTGGGGAATACTGACAAACCCTTAAATTATCACATTTAACTAATGAAATCTAGACTTAGGGCTGAGGCATAAACATTATTCGTGCAAAGTTGGAAATAAACTTTTGTCAGCATAAGTAGTATGAAAACTTAAATACACATTATAAAAGTTCATTTTGTGCTATTGAGGGTCTACATTCCTCTTAGCTGCTTCCTTCTTACTTTATGGACACTGTATATTTTGTTACTGATGGTGTTTCCCATGTTTCTTTGACTTCTTGGTGAAATGGGGCAGGCAGGTAGAAAGAAAACAATAAGGCAAACAGCCAAACAGCAGATACAGGAACACAGTACCATACCTGGATACATTCTGCCAAATGTCCTGCTTCACAGATGATCCTGATGCTATAGTTAACCTGATTCTTTGTACAACCTGACCTTGGTAACAGTCCCCAACAGGAACTTTCCCAAACTTAGAGGTTACCCAGAGGCCTCATCTACATCTCATTATAGTTGTGGTTTGATGCATGCACCTCCCCTTAAATCACCATCTTTGATCTAGGAGCACCTTATTAGGTAAAACCACTTCCTGTCCTCTGGTTCTTGGAAAAGCTCTCCCATTTCTAAGAAAACTCCACAATCTTACACATAAAATGAATGTGTCTAATCTCCCATAAGCCATAAAAGTGCCCAAGACCCAAGGACTCAAGGCATTCAGCTACATGGTCAGGTTGCCCACCTTCATCCTATCTTACGGGTGTCCTTCTTTTGCTTTTGCTTCAATAAATCTAATTTTGTTAAAACTGCTCTGTGTGTCTACCCCTGAAATCTTTCTTCACCAAGACCAACAACCTGCCATTCATCTCTGCTGATGCTGGGAAGCTGCAGCTCAATAGCAATTTTCTCTTTATATTTGGAATAAAATCTAGGCCTCTTACTTGTCTATCAAGACCTATTAGGTCCTTTGTAATGTGGTCTTTGTCTTCTCTTTGACCTCAAAACTTATGACTTTCCTTGTTTCTGTTCTAGTTCATCCACACTGGCCCTCTTGCTTTCCTCATAAATGCCATGCATATTCCTGCCCAGGGCTTTTTGAACATGTGCTGTTCCCTCTATCTGAGATGTTCTTTCTTCCTTCCCTCCCTCTCTTTCTCAAGTGTTTCATTCCTTCCCATCAATTTACCTCCTCAGATAGGTCTTTTCTGACTACCTTCCCATTACCCTTTGACCTACTCCCTACCTAATCCTTTTGCCTTCTTGTACTCATAGCACTGATCATTGCCTTATAATACTCATAGTTATTGACATTGTCTGTTTACCTGTTTATTGTAAGTCCTAAAAGCCAGGGACTTTGTCTTGTACACTGATGTTTCACCAACAATAGAAAAAGTGCTCATATCTGTTGAGTATTTGCTAAATGATCAACTTAGGATCTTATGGCATGTATGCTATATACTAATCTTACTCCTGACTTATCCTTCTTTCATTTTTCTTTTATCCTGATTTCCTCTTCTATTTAAATTTATTCTGTTGTAGAAACTGTATTTTGTAAGCCGCCTCAATTGTTTTTTTAAATGAGGTTGATTACGCATATACACATTTTGCTTTTTTCTTGTGATACTGGGGTTTGAACTAGTACCTGGGACCTTCCCCTTCTGGGCAGGTGCTCTATCACTGAGCCACATCCCCAGCCCCTTTTGCTTTAGTTATTTTTGGAGTAGGATCTCGTATATTTGCCCAGGGAGGCCTGGATCTTGATCCCCCTATTTATGCTTCCCACGTAGCTGGGATGACAGGTACACTCCACCATGCCCAACTTATTGGTTGAGATGGGGTCTTACTATCATTTTGTCCAGGCTGTCCATGAACCATGATCCACCCATTCTCCACCTCCAGAGTCGCTGGGATTATAGGTGTGAACCACCATGCCTGACAACATTTTATATATTTTTTGTAGTACTAGAGTTTGAACTCAGTGCTTTATGTGAATTTACCTGTTACCTCCATTACTTACATATCATCAGCAAAAAAACAGCTGGCTTGCTTTTGCACCTTTTCCATCTCATCCTTTCTCCACCGGGAACGCTGTGTTAGCATGTGCTTTCGGCCCAGGACCAGCAGTTGCAGATTCTGCTTGGCTAGTTGAGAAACTACATCCAAGAGCTAAAAAAGCACAAAGTCAGCTCAGAAAAAAAAAAAAAAAACAAAACCAAACCAGTACTTCAAAGGGTCAAAGGAAAAATCTCAAATAAGTAAAGACTCTTCTAGTTGGTCATCTCAATGATGAGGCTCTCTTTTTTGGTAAGGGGTAAGAAAATAGTCTTTAATAATTTTCCATCTTTAAAAACCTGAGTCAAATACTTCTCTATTACAAATTAATACCTAATACCTGTCCACTGGTCAGGCTACACTGGATCCAAGGATGGACTTCTAAACACAGACTGTTTTTATTTTATTTATTTATTTGCAGTAGGCATGAAGGCATGCATCTGTAATCCCAGCACTCTGGAGGCTGAGGCAGGAGGATCGTGAGTTCTAGGCCAACTTGGGCTACTTAGTGAGACCTGGTCTCAAAAAAACACTCCCAACTCTGTTTCAACCAAAACAGCTTCACTTTCATATAATTTATTTATTTGTTACATACTACTGTATTACTAATATTATTTTAAGACGGATTAGTTGTTTTTATTATCCTTAATTATTAGTCCCAGAATTAAAATGGAATGGACACAATTTGCCCTCTGGATGTGAGTGAACACATAAGCAGAGAAGAATACCAGTACAGTAAAGCCACCCCAAATTCAAAACTTTATAATTGGTAAAACATAGGTCTTTGTTTCAAGCTAAGAATAGTGGCTTCTGTGTTCATTCAACAGTTATTTCCCAGCCAGTTCTATGTGGAAAGTATATGGGAGTTATAACAGCCTATAAAAATTTTAAAGGTATGGTTCAGCTCTTAGTGGGGGAGTGCCTAAAATTTTTCTTGTCCTACTATCAAGTTTAGGAAAACATATTCTGACTCTGCATATATTTGATTGCTAATACTTTCTGATTAGCTGAAGAATATACCGAACATCTATTTTTACCCATCATAAAAGCAACTCATATTAGAACATGAAAAAGACTAAAAGATGAAAGAACAAACCACTCCTAGTTTACTATCCAAACACAGTTAATGTGTAGTTGCCAGGCTTTTTAGCCTATATGTTGTTTTGTTTTGCTTTGTTTTGTTTTCTGGCAGTACTGGGTCTTGTCCGTGCAAGGCAACTGCTCTACCACTGAGCTACATCCCCAGCCCATATATACATTCTGTATAATCTTATAATCTATTATTTAAAAAGTTGGGTTAGTAATCAAGAAAAAGTATTTTAACTAAAAAAGTTTGTTTTTGCAGGTGCCAGTGGCTCACACCTCTAATCGTAGCTACTTAGGAGGCTGAGATGAGGAGGATCACAGCTCAAAGACAACCCAGGCAAATAGTTTGCAAGACCCCATTTCCATAATAACCTGCCCAAAATAGGCTCAGGTGTTACTCAAGTGGTATAGCACCTGCTTTGCCAATGTGAAGCACTGAGTTCAAAACCCAAGAAAAAAGCTTTTGAGGATTCTAATACCTCAAAAGACACTGACAGCACACTTCTTTTAGCATGCACTTATTCCCCTGTTTTTGAGATGGGGTCTTGCTAAGTTGTCCAGACCGGCTTTGAACTCACCGTCCTCCTGCATCAGCCTCTCAGGTAGCTAGAACTACAGGTGTGTGCACTATGGGCTCCACTTATATTCCTTTTTTAAAAAACTACAGATTATTTAAAATGCTATTATTATTTAAAATGCTAAATTTACAGATTATTTTTAATGAGTCCAGATACAAAATGGCAATTAGACTCATTAATAGGGACAATTACTTTTTAAAAATTCCCATATGCATTCCTATAAAGTCATAAAGATGCAAAAAAATTTTGAACAAAAATACATTTTGAAGCTGACTATGGCGGCACATGTGTATAATCCCATCTGCCCAGAAGACTAAGACAGGAGGATCAAAAGTTCCAGGTTAGCCTGTCTGGACAACTTAGTGGGACCCTTAAAAAAATTTTTTTTTTAAAAGGCTGGGTGCTGGTGGCTCACATCTGTAATCCTAGCCATTCAGGAGGCAGAGATCAGGAGGATCGAGGTTTGAAGTCAGCCTGGGCAAACAGTTTGTGAGACCCGATCTTGAAAAAAACCCATCACAAAAAAGGGCTGGTGGTGTGGCTCAAGGTGCAGGCCCTAAGTTCAAACCCTAGTACTGCAAAAAAGAAAAAAAAATCTTTTAAAAGGCTGAGGATGTTAGCTCAGTGGTACAGTCCTTGCCTAGCATGCATGAGACGCTAGGTTTAACCCTGGTACTATAAAAAAAACTCAAAGAAAGAAAAAGCAAACAAAAAAGTCCCACTTTTTGATATTGGTTACTTAAGTGTCCATGTAGCTGAGAAACATGGCTTAAAGAAAAACATACTGGGTCTTTGCAGCTATATCCTGCCTTAGAAAAATAGTCCTGAGTTTATTATTATTAAATTAAAGGTGGAGGCCTGAGAAAGAGCAGAAAAACCTTTGTTTGAACTACTCTGGGGCACCATCTTGTGGTCGAGAAGTCTCCATTAACAGCAGCTTTCTTAAAAACAATGAAAACAAAAGAGAGCAAAATGACACAGGAAAGAAAGATGATGGACAGCATTGGTGTAAAACTGTGACAGTCCAGTTGTAAAAGCCCACTTCCTTTGAAATAAATTCCAAGGCTGGATATAGTAGACTCTGTCAAAGTCACAGATATACTCAGAATGGCAAAGAAAAAGAAAATTTAACTTAATTCTGCATTAGATCAAAAATAAATCTGAGCCAGGCATGGTAGTGCACTTCTGTAATTCCAATACTCAGTCAAGAGGATTGCAAGTTCAAGGCCAACCTGGGCTACATAGCAAGACACTGCCTCAATAAAACAAAACAAAAACTGGGGTTGGGGGAGCAGCTCAGAGGTGCAGTAGTGGAGCATTTGCCAAGCCAGGCCCTGGGTTTGATCTCTGGCATTGGTAAAAAACAAAAATAACTGTGAGGAAGGAGAGAGTAGATATATTTCCTCCCTATCTCTCCCGCTAAGTTCAACTAAAAACGCTGGACATTATATATATAAAATACACATAAGATGACTTTAAACGCTAGCTTAAAAGAAAAAATAAAAAAGGAAAACTGGCCAAGAACCTCAAGACATAAGGAATGACATGTTAGTGAGTTTTTATTTTTTTTTTCATTTTTCTTTTATTATTCATATGTGCATACAAGGCTTGGTTCATTTCTCCCCCCTGCCCCCACCCCCTCCCTTACCACCCACTCCGCCCCCTCCCTCTCCCCCCCACCCCCTCAATACCCAGCAGAAACTATTTTGCCCTTATTTCTAATTTTGTTGTAGAGAGAGTATAAGCAACAATAGGAAGGAACAAGGGGTTTTGCTGGTTGAGATAAGGATAGCTATACAGGGCATTGACTCACACTGATTTCCTGTGCGTGGGTGTTACCTTCTAGGTTAATTCTTCTTGATCTAACCTTTTCTCTAGTACCTGTTCCCCTTTTCCTATTGGCCTCAGTTGCTTTAAGGTATCTGCTTTAGTTTCTCTGCGTTAAGGGCAACAAATGCTAGCTAGTTTTTTAGGTGTCTTACCTATCCTCACCCCTCCCTTGTGTGCTCTCGCTTTTATCATGTGCTCATAGTCCAATCCCCTTGTTGTGTTTGCCCTTGATCTAATGTCCACATATGAGGGAGAACATACGATTTTTGGTCTTTTGGGCCAGGCTAACCTGTTAGTGAGTTTTTAAATTTCGTTTTCACCTCATATATCCCAGACTTGGAGCTGAAGAAGCGTTAATTTGGAAATATCAATGCTTGCAGATAAGAAAAGCATAGCAAAGACCTGTTCTCTCTGGGCAAAGGACCAGGAAAGAAGCAGTCTAGTCAGATAGGGAACTTGGTAAAATGCTAACAGTATTCTGTGGTACATGTTATAACTAGAGGGATCACTAAAATTGCTATAAAAAATAGCCAAAGATACTATAGATTTGAAAAAACAAAAAACCGACTAGGGAGAGATAAAAGTGAAATTCTAAAAAGGATTCAAAAAAGTCCATTAGAAGGCAGGAAAAACAAAACAGATTCGAAAATACATAGACAGCATACAGAAAACAACAACAAAATGGCAAGCAGAGACCTTAATATAGCCATAACAACAGGAGGTGTAAAGAGTCTACACCTATCAATTAAAATACAGAGGCTGGCAGAGTTGGATTTTTGTCGATCCTACATGTTAAAAAAAAAAAAACAAAACAAGACACATGACCCAATTATATGCTAAATAAAATAAATTTGCTTCTCCTGATTTGGGGTTTTGGTTTCTACATTCCCTACTATTTCACCATAATCCTCAAGATAGTTCTCGAGAAATCAGAAAAGAGTAAGTTTCAGATTAATATTTGGAGCAAGTATTTTCGGGTTTAGCCTCTACCCTAATTTGATTTAACTCCTGTAGGAAGAGACAAAAGATTAAAAAAAAAACTCCCAAGTCACTTCCTTTTGGCATAAAACTGCTGAAAAGTAGTTCCTGAGCTTACAGTAAAATATAATTAGCAGGCTACATGTGTTAGAAATAGCTGTGCACAGGGATGTTCAGGAAATAGAGAAGCTGCTTGGGAGGTGGAAGAGGCCAATGAGGGCAAGACCTTTTCTGAGTAAATCCTAAATATCAAATGCAACTTCCTTGCTCTGTTCTTATAACTTTTTACCTCCCCCTCCGCAGGATCTGGTACTTCTGGGGTTGTATGAACTACAGATCTTCAAAAACTCTAAAGCCTTTGGGATCTAATGTCTATAGAAATAAGAAATCTACTATGCCAGTTCTTCATCAAGATAAGTACAGTCAATATATCTCATATGTAAAAAGTCATTATGAGATAACATCAGAAAAGAACCTGAGAACAGTTTCAGAAACAACCAAAATGTCCATTGATAGATGAATAGATAAATCAAATGTACAGATAGATTATTAGCCTTAAAAAGGAACAAAATTCTGATGCATACTACAACAGAGATAAACCTTGAAGATATTATAATTAGTGAAATAAGCCAGACACTGAAA